TGCGCCTTCCGCGGCACACGTCGATCCGAATTGTGGAAAGACGCGCTGTCTGGGACTGCTTTCCTGTGCGACGCATTCTCTTGGAGCTTATTGTAATCTCGGCAGACGTAGCAACGACCGGGTCAATGCGCAGGCAAGGAGACAGAAAGCGCAAGTGCCTGCGTGCGTGATTGCTGCACGGCACATCTTCAGCGACGCGCGTCGATCCGGATTGGAAAGATGTGCCGTCTCCGACGGCGTGGATGTCAGATCACGCAGAGGCCATTCAACGTCGGTTGGCCATCTGTGGCACGTGTCGATCCGGATTGGAAAGATGCGCTGTTTAGGATGGCTTTCCTGGGGCACGTGTTCGTCTCACCCTGGGTCAATTCGAAAAGAAGGTGGTGCGTTCTGATAACCTTTCAAGTCGGCTGGCGAGTTTGGCAGGTGTGTCGTGTGATTTTGCTCTGTCCGTGGCATTTTAGGTATCAAGTTCATCGGCTCGTATCTTTTGATTCCATCTGCGTGGTTAGACATGGCCGATCCGCGTGCACGAGCCCAGAATCGGGTCGAATTGCAGGTGCTCGCCCACGGCTCCTACGACGAGCTCTGTCGTCCCTGCGTAGACTGTGGCCTCTACACAGGAAGCTACTGTGATTATTGCTTCGCAGCCGATCGTGTGCCGAGTGAGCGCTGGGCCGACAATCAGCGTACGCCGCTCTGCACCGCCTGTGATCGCAGGTACGACATGTGCCGCTTCTGTCGGAGCATCCACTGGGTGACAGCGCCTGCTCATCGTGATCGTCACTTGCCTGCCGGCGAAGATCAAGGACGGCCCGCCAAAGCTCCGCCGGTGAGGGAGGCCCAAAGGGCCGCCCATCTCGGCGCCTGTCGATCGTCGATCCAAGGCGGCTGGCGTTGGCGCCAATCAAGAGGGTGCTGCCGCGGTGGCTCCACGGGCCAAGACCGAAGCGGAGCCTTCCGATGCATTTCGGCAGGCGGAAGCGGAGCTCAGTCTGTTGCTCGGTGCTGACTGGATGATGATCGGGTGCGATGCGTGCGATCCGGATTGGAAAG